GGGTGTAATTGTATAAACATTGCTATTTCCTTTCATTCAAACTTATGTCCCCAGCCTGATCCAGTATCTTCTCCCTTTTGCAGCATGCCCTGACTTCCATGTGTTCTCTCTCAGGCTAATGTTTATGTCTTCAGTGGCCCCTGTAAGCTCATGTTCTCAATGTTTGTTCCTCCCGTGGTGATGCTTGGTGGGTGGGAGGGGCTGAGGAACCTTGAGAGGTGAGGCCTAGTTAAAGGGAAGGGTCACTAGGGTTGAGGTCTTCAAGTTGCTATTTGCTTCCTGCTTGCTGAGGCGAGGACCACCTCTATCAAGCAATTCTACTGCACTGAGCCGACCCCTGTGCCTCCCACCAGGACCGGCTGGAATCCTTCTGAACTGTGACGCCAAAAAAATTCTTTGAGTCGTTTCATCATAATAGGAACAGTAACTAATATAGCCAGGCGTGGTGGTACACACCTTTAGTCCCAGCTCTGGGGAGGCAGAGGCAGGTGGATCTCTGTGAGTTCAAGGCCAACATGGTTTGCATAGTGAGTTCTAGGGCAGCTGGGGCTACAGGGAGACCCTGTCTCAGAAAGGCAAAATAAATAAATAAATAAATAAATAAATAAAAAGTAGGAACAGTAGCTAATGTGATTTTCTGTGCAGCAATGTTTCCACAGAGAAATCTCTTCGATTCTTGGGGGTGATTCTGCTTGAGCTCACTGGCTACACTGTGAATAAGCAGGGTTCACATAAATCGCAAGGCCCTCTAATAGTGTGGCCCAAGTACCAGAGCTTGAAGGAGCATTCAGCGTATCCTAGGCTTTTTGAGGCCCTTTGTTCTCTTTTGCGTTGTGTTGCAAGGCCATGTCTTTCAACATCTCTCCAGAAACTGAACTTTTCAAAGGAAATTAAAGAAATCCAGGCAGCTGCATCAGGTTCTAGCAGGCTGCCACTGTGCAATGTTGGATTTCGTCATTGCTCTTCTTTAGATAGTGATGTGTTTCTTATTTCTTATGAACACACCTAAAATTTAAACCTTAAAGCTCTAAACTTGAAATTTTAAAGAAAATCCTGTGAGCGCAGTTCCGCAAGACCTAACTCACTCAAAGCCACGCAAGTCCAGAGGTTATTGATTCAGATAGGCGTTGCTTGCTTTGATTAGAATATTGATTCTTTCATTTCCATCATTACTACAAACACTTTGAGTTGCTTTCTTTGCATATATTGTGTTTCTATAAATGACCTTATTCAAAGAATAAAAACATAAACTAGCACAAATCAATTCCATTTGTTTCTAGAGCAGATTGGTACAGGTGTGTGTGTGTGTGTGTGTGTGTGTATGATGTATATACCTGATTTAGGATTTAGGACAAAATGTTGTAGCCATGAAGCTATCATGTCACATAGACAGAGAAACAGGACTTCCAGATAACTAGGCCCTAAACAGAGAGGGGTAACAAGGTAACAAGAACAGACCCAGCTTCTCTGCCATCTGGGATTTCATATAGCTAGTCTGAACTATTAAGTCTCACTGTCACACATTAACCAAGTCTCCCCTACCAAAGACAGAATGAGCCCTGTCATGTAGTATAAAGTCACGCCCTGCTTACCTACCTCTGTCGTGTAGTGCAGGTCACACATTAACTGGGCCCACTGCACCTATCCCGAGGAAGAGTGACAGACCTCTTGCCTGAACGACAATTTCGTTCGACACCTCTCTGGAACCTCTTCTCCTCCCCACATTCCACCAAAAAACCCAACAGAACACATTTACGAATGCGAGATCCCTGCCTGAATTAATTTACATCCGAGTTCTTTCTGGAATGTCTGGGTTTTCACTGGGACCTCATTCATGATTCACCATCTATTTGGCTTCATTAAAAAAACTTAGATTTTGGTCAAAACCCATTTAGAGCTATCAGTTTATCAAGTACAAAAATATGTGCGGTTTTTGAAGTATTAAACAATTCCTCTACAAAAGTTACAATAACCGAAACAAAGGCTTGAACGGTTTGAGCATTAATTGTCTATGTTGAGCTGTCATCAAAGAGAGCTTCAGTTACGTCTGTGTGCGCACCTTACTCCTCCCCAAAGGCACCTTTTTCCTTATATAAATATCCTCAGTCCTTTTTCTTGGAAAGTTTTACTTTTTTCTTGCCCTAAGGCTGTGTTTTATGGTTTCAGTGAAACCCCAAAGAAATGGAAATTTTATTTAAAATACAGACAGAATTTAACACAAAACAAGCAGCTGCTACTAAAATTAAAGCGCAGGCTGCCCGTCACTTGATAGAGGTCAATATTAAAGACCTAAGAGTTGCTAAGAAAGAATCCAGCCTGTTCAAAGCCCTCCATGAAGAAGATGAAGGACCTGTCTCATCAAAGCTCTATTTTCAGGGGCTTCGGGGTTCAGAGGGCTTGTCTAGGACAGGAAAGGGGGAGTAGGACAGGAAAGCCACAGACTGAACAGAGTCTTTGTCATCCAGGGAATATTCTTCTTTTCCTTCTCCAGACATTATAGAGTTGATCCTCTGGGGCTAGTTCCTATCGTTCCTTTTAGACATGTATTCGTAGAGCTAAAGACTAGGGGTGTCACTCTTCCTCTGGGTAGGTAAGTTGAGTTCAAGAAACGTTGTAGGGATGTTCTGGGTCTTGTCAGTCTAAAGAAGGACTTAGTTCTTTAGAATACAGAATTCTGTGCTAAATGTTAACCTGAGCAGAGTTACAAAGAGAGCTCTTTGAAAGACTGGGTCGGTTATTTATTAGTACTGTCAGAGCTCCTTATCAGGCAAGAGAGTATTTGAAATTAATATACTATTTGATTAGATTGACTGTTTCCTACAGCTGAAGATTTTAACATTCATTAGCCATACATACTGGTCATTAGTGCTTTCTTTTATCAGTAAGCAAAGAATAAGCAGAAATTCTAATAAAAATTCATCACGGTACATGTACCCTGTATCTAAATGACTGCGATGGCTGCCCATGTGCTAGATTAAGTGCTGTAACAGGAAAGAGCTCTGTTAGAAAGGGTTAAAATAGCTCTTAATTAACGTTTATTTTGTAAGTGAACTCTTTCAAACTACATCAGGCTCTACAGATAATCTCTTACATATCCAGTATAACAAAGCTCTAATGGGTATTTTCTACTTAATGTATTTGTGTGGTATCCTGTAACTGGGTTTTAGGAAGCACTCAAGGCTTTCGGAAAGCACTTTAATGTGTTCCAGGTGAGGCTTGCTTTCTACCACTAGGAAAAAGGCATCATGGCCTGGTTTCCGACCAGACAGTTGAAATGATTCTGACTTGTATGAAAACGCTGGTCTGTTCTAGGTATGACCCCTCTTTTCCTATCATGTCATGGAGTGTTTTAAAGAGAAAATTGGAAGGAATTGTGAGAAGGAGTTCATGAGCAACTCCGCAAGTAGTATGAGTTACTGTTACCAAATTCACTTAGACATTTATAATTATTTCACACTTAATCCTAAGAATCTTGAGAGATAGAGCTGTCTCTATTTTATAGGCAGTGAGATTGCTCAGAAAGCTTAAATAATGAATACAACATGATGACGCCGGTAAGGAACAGTCAGCTTGCCAACTAGGCTGCTAGTTCTGAGCCATGCTGCTGTTCAGCGTGCACATAGGCTGAGAAACGCGGTGTGGGGGGAGACCTCCCAAAGCTTCAGTGTGTGCGTTAGCTTGCTTGGCTCTAGGATGCATCCAGAGAGCCAGGTAGCATGCTGAAGTCTGGACAAGATTCAGCTCACCTAGCTGCTGTGCCCCAGAATGTGTTAAGTTCTACCTAAATGCAGCCAAGACGTTCAGGAGATGATCAAAGTCCCAAGAGAGCGGGAAGGAACAAGGGTACCTGGACCAGGGCATCCTTGGGAGTCCAGGATGTGCTTAGAGAGTTATTATTATTATGGGACTGCAGGCGTGATGAAGGGAAGGTCTTGCCCATAAGAAACAAAGGCAGGATGAAAAATAGTGAGACCAGTTGACAAGAATCGAAGTGAAATCTCCCTCACAGAGAAATAACGAGCAAGAAAAGACTGGGGGACCTGGCTAAGGGAATCACCGGAAACACTCAGAAAGATGCGAGAACAGACACTGTGTTGCTCATCTTGAGTCTGACAGAAAACTAAAACTCTACTCAGGGTCCCCAGGCAAAAGGTACTTCAAGTGAAGAACCCAGAAACAGAGGCAGCAAGGAATTTGCCATGTGTGGCTACAGACAGCACCCTAACACAGACTCAGGAACTCAAATACTCTGACAGCGAATGGTCCTTAAGAGATATCACGGAATCTACTCTGTTTAACCTGCGTTTAGCCGATGGTTTATGTTGTCCGCTGCTTTAGTTACTTTTGTGTAGCTGTGACTAAAATATTTAGCATAACCAATTTAAGGGAAGAAGGATTTCTCTCGGCTCATAGTTTCAGAGAGCTCTACTCATGGTCTCTTGACCTCATGCCCTTGGGCAAACATCGTGACAGTGAGAGCTGTGGCAGAGGAGACTTGCTCACTGCTGTGAACAGAAGCAGGGAGAGTGAGAGAGAACAGGGCCAAGGAGAGGTCAAGTGACGCATTTCTTCTAGCTAAATCTCATCCCCCAGGCACTCCGGAACCTCCTCAATAGGGTCACCAGGCAAGAACCACACATTCGAAACATGAGCCTGTGTGAGATAGTTCATTTCCAAGCCACAACCGTCAACCCAACCTGAGAGTCAAAATCTAGAACAATGAATAGGAAATGGTTAATTCCGTAAATGGCAGTTCGATAGTAATAGTCTTGCATTTTAATTCGTATTAATGTCTCAGTGACAAATCACTATTGATAGAAGCGCCTATCCCTGCAGTCAGGGTATTACTTCAGAGGAGTGGAGCGATCATTCTGCTGCCTTTCAGATCTATGCTTTAGTTGGCTTTATTTCGTGACTGTTCCAAGAGATTTTGATTGAGTAAAACTTTGCCCCTATGTTATGTTCTCTGATCTTTTTTTTCTTTAACCTTTTTGCCACAGGAGACTTTGAATGTGATTGACCCTGGATTGATGGACCTAAATGGAATGGGTGAGGATGCCCTGGAATGGGACGAGACAGATATAAGAAACAAGTTAATTAGTGTGACTGAAGAATCCAGTGACCCTGATCAAGATCCACACACACCCTCACTGAAGCTTGAAGAGACATACCGTGAGAATCCTGGTTATGAGGAGGAGGCAGGTGACCACTGGGGATCTCAGTACACCTCAGATATCACCGCACCTTCCAGCCCACACATTTACCAAGTATACAGTCTTCACAACGTCCAGCTCTCTGAGGAGAGCCATGTGCCATTTCTGAAAAACAACCCAAAATTCGCAGGCACGGCACAGCACAGTGTTTTAACTAAGAGCCTCAGTAAAGATTCCTCATTTTCATCTACCAAATCTTTGCCAGATCTTTTGGGGAGTTCCAGTTTGGTGAAGCCCTGCCCAGGCTCCAGTGGAGATGTGAGCCAGAATTCAGGCAGTGATAGTGGGATCATCAGTGAAGGAGGTAGTGAAATGCCTACCAACTCTGAAACAAGCTTGTTCACTGTTGTGGATGGGTCCCCAAGTAACCCTGAAACTGAACATCTGGACCTACCAAGGGGAGACGCTGCTAACGTGTTACAGCAACAACTTAAAGACGAGGAGCAATGCGTTAAGCTTCCAAACCGTTGTCAGTCATCCATCTCACCAGTGGGTTGTGTAAATGGAAAAGCTGGAGATTTGAACAGTGTTACCAAACACACCACGGATTGTGTGGCAGAAGAATTGCAAGAAAAACACGATGTGTTTACATTTTATGATTACTCATACCTCCAAGGCTCAAAACTCAAATTCCCAACGATAATGAAACAGTCGCAAAGTGAAAAGGTACATGTGGAGAATCCCCTTCTTCCTGGTTTCTATTTTGATAAAAAATCCTGCAAATCTAAACATCAGGCTTCAGAGTTACAACCGGACGCACCTCCCCACGAAAGGATTTTGGCAAGCGCACCCCACGAAATGGGTCTCAGCTCATATAAAGGTAGCGAGGCAGAGAAGGCATTCCCTGGCATTCAGAACGCCAGACGGCTCTCTCTCTTATCTCGTAGTTCATCCGTGGAATCCCTTTCTCCAGGGGGTGATTTATTTAGATTGGGTATCTTTAAAAATGGCAGCGACAGCCTCCAGCGAAGCACTTCTTTGGAAAGTTGGTTGACGTCCTACAAGAGCAACGAAGATCTTTTCAGCTGTCAGAGCTCGGGGGACCTCAGTGTGAGCAGCGGCTCGCTCGGCCAGCTGAGTAAAAGGACGCTGGACCTCCTGAACCGTTTGGAGAACATCCGCAGCCCCTCGGAGCAGAAGATCAAGCGAAGCGTTTCCGACGTCACTCTCCAGAGCAGCTCCCAGAAGATGTCCCTGGCCGGGCAGATGTCCCTGGACAGAGCATCCTCCGTCAATGAAGACTCGGCGGCGTCCCTCACCGAGCTGAGCAGCAGCGACGAGCTCTCTCTCTGTTCCGAGGACATCGTGTTACACAAAAGCAAGGTCCCGGCGTCCAACGCATCGTTCAGGAAACGCCTGAGCCAGTCCGTGGCCGACGAAAGCGACGTGAACGTCAGCATGATCGTGAACGTGTCGTGCACCTCGGCTTGCACCGACGACGACGACGACAGCGACCTGCTGTCCAGCTCCACCCTCACCCTGACCGAGGAGGAGCTGGGCCTCAGGGGCGAGGACGACGACTCCAGCATCGCCACCGACGAGGACATCTACGAGGACGGCGGCCCGGTGTCGGGCCTGGACTACATCAGGAAGGAGCTGCAGACCTGGATGGGGCCCCGGTTCTCCCCGACCCGGGAGAAGAGACGGCGCGATGTCACCGAGGACGCGCGTGGCGGCGGGAGGACGGGTCCTCCGGGCTCCCTGGGCGTCGAGGCCCCGCTCGGCGGCTCCGGGGAACGGCTCTCCGAGACCAACGGGAACGGCCGGAGTCCGTCCCGAACGCGGGGGCTGGCGACGAAGGGCGGAGGCGAGCGAACCGTGTGTGGAGCCGGCGACGACCCCCGCGTGGCCGACGTGGAAAACGGCAATGTGGAGAGCGCTCCGGGAGGACGAGCGCACGGCTCCGCGGCACCCGACGGTCCTGCTCCGCACGCGGGGCTTGCAGAAGACCAGCTCGGTCCGTGCAAAGCGACCGTCGGGGGGTCGGAGGGTCCCGGCGTCGCCGCAAGGGAACGGGGCCCTGCGGACGGGACACGGCCTCCGGAGGTGGGCCCGCGTGCACCCCGCCCCGAGGACCCCAGCGCCCACTGCGCTCCCGTCCAGAACAATCGCCCAGAACTGACGACAGAAACCGGAGTCAACAGCAGACCGGACGGCGACGATGCACCGGGCCCGGCTGGAAAACCTGCGGGTTGCTGCCTCCTGGAAGCAGAGCAAAGTGCTTCCGACAGCGGCAGCTCTTCCTGCTGCAACTGCGAGCCAGGTGTTCCCCACCAGGAAGACGCCGAGGACTGTTCGGTGCACGACTTTGTGAAGGAGATCATTGACATGGCCTCAACAGCCCTAAAGAGTAAATCTCAACCTGAAAATGAACTAGCTGCTCCCACTTCCTTGACCCAAATCAAGGAGAAAGTGCTAGAACATTCTCACCGGCCCATTCAGCTGAGAAAGGGGGACTTCTATTCCTACCTGTCCCTCTCATCCCATGACAGCGATTGTGGAGAGGTCACCAATCACATGGATGAGAAGAGCAGCCCTCCATCACCACCGGACACCGTGGACTCTGGCTTAGATGAAAAGGAAGACATTGAATGTTTCTTTGAGGCCTGTGTTGAGGATGACCCGCAGGGAGAGAAGGCCTGTTTCTCTAGCGACCTTCCACAGGAGTCCGCAGTCCTCGATGAAGCCCCCGTGTCGCTACCAGTGACAGCAAGCTCTCCTATGCTCAGGGGCGTTTCTCCCTCAGCCCACGACGCAGAAGTGGTAGCCCCTTCAGGACCTCCCCATCAGAAAGGACCTGAGGTTGGAAAGGAAGCAGATGATGTGTCCCAAACGTCCCATGGCTGTGCAGACGTCTCAGAGCATGGCACCTCTTCAAGACTGGGCAGAGAAGAGGGGAGTTCAAGCCACACAGGTGAATCAGGAAAGCCAGAAGAAAATAATGCTGCTTCAGCCAGATGGAAAGCTCAAGCCCTCTCACTGAATGCAGGTCAGCCGAAAGGCAAGGCTGTGTTGTGCCCCAGGCCCCAAACCTTAACCTGCAAAGAAAAGCTCGTAAACTTTCATGAAGATCGACACAGAAATATGCATAGATAGAATGTAATGCCCCCAAGCATGAATACCAACTCATTGAAAGGTATGTATAAGTACTGTGCCGTGTGTGTGTGTGTGTGTGTGTGTGTGTGTGTGTGGGTGTGTGTGCATAACATGGGTTTGTATGGATAGAGTCACAACGAGAGGCTATCGATAGAATCACAACAGGAGACTAGTCAGAAAGACCAAACATGACAGTATTTATCTGAATAAGACATTTAAGGAGAAGAAACACTTCAACAATGAAAGTAACTGTGAAGCAAAAAGCCAAAGGGGAAAAACTAGTGAAAAGTTGACTTTCTTGTTTGTTTGTTTGCTGTTTGTTTGAGATAGCCTCTCCTTATAGCCCCAGCTGACCTGGAACTTGTTATGTAGACTGAGCTGGCCTCGAGCCCACAAAGCTTTGACGTTTGTTTGTGACATTATATTTACTCCGCATTCTCAAAAGAGCAATAAAAAATCAGAGGAAACAGCTAAACAGTTTAAGGCTTCAGATTCTTCGACTGAGGGATTCAAAAACACTGTCTGTGTTGCAAGTATACCCTGAGATCACAGTGCACGTGGTAACGACACTTCTCATTCAGTGCCTGCAACCACGGCTGCTTGTGACCTCTGCAAATGAACAAAGATTAGGCTAAAGGCTGCGCCTCCTGATTGGGCCGCCTTTTATGCGTCTGTCTAAAGTAACTGCCGTCACACTGGCTTCCCCGGTGCCAGACTGTACTGTCAAAGCTTCCAGTCACAGCCATGCCTGAGACCTGCTGCAGGAGGAAAAGGTGGCATTGGGGGAAGGCTGTTCATCCTCACACATTGAGAACCAGGGCAGAAAGGAAACACGGAACAAATACATGACAAGCTAATGGTGTCTTGATAGAAACAGAAGTTTTGAATTTTGCCTGAAGGTGACGGGCTGATTTCCATCAAACTTCGTTAAGAAAGTCATTCTGCTCTTCATATTTAATAAGAAAGCTATTGATTGATAATTCTGAGATGATATAGCTCTAAAAGTGACACAGAGACTCTGTTGTTTCCTATTTCTAAGCCCCAATGATGAATACACTTCCTCAATCAAGTTCAAAGAGAAAATTTGAGCTTTCAAGGATAAGGGTTGTATTTCACCAAAGTACAAGGTAGCTTGTGCCATTTCCACCACACCCCCCAACTGCAGAAGCCTAATGCTGTAACCGAAACTCGTGCTATAGGAAGTGAATTACAGAAGCAATCTACCCTAATTTGTTAACTTATTCAAATAACAGTTATTATACTTAACTATGCTAAAGATTATCTTTTTTGTGGCAGATTGTTTATTTTTTTGATGAGCCTAATTACTGATTTTCTAAAAGTAATTTACATTTATTACAAATACATCTTTTAAAATGTGACAGATAAATGTTGTTCCCATAATGTATTATGAAAAAAGTTACTATTTAAAAACACATTATTTAATTTGAAAGATGAATGGCAAACATCATTATTTTTTTTCCTGCAACACCTGTGCCCTAAGCTCATTAAAATGTGTGATTCTCTGGTAGAACTGCTGGAAATGGGGATGGAGGAGGGGAATCTATACCATATCTATACCCTAAAAATAAACTTCGTATGCAAAATCAAAGAAAGCCATCCCGCTTACTAACATAGCTTGACTAATTTTCTATTCAGACTCTGTTTACAATTGGCTGCAAGTGGGAACAAAAGTGAGAGAGGAACGTGTTTTCTGGGAGTCGTGCCCACCCTATAATCACTGTCTCCGCCAGTGTCCAGTAAAACTGACCATTAGAGGAACTGTACTCTATAAGCTGCTTCCAAACAAGTTCTATCAGAACTGATTTGGCTGTAGGCCCCACCAACCTCCACAGGAGGACTGGGCGAGCCTGGCTGATCTTGTTTTCTGAAAGAGGATAAAGACTTGAAAGCATTGGTAGTCTGAGCATGACGTCACGTGACCGTGACCCTCAAGTCATGCTGAGATCTGGAGCTAGCAGGAGAAGCCAGCCAGGCACTGGGGAAGCCACTGGGGTGTGTTGTCCTTGTTCACCCTCTGGGAGTTTCTTCTCTCCCTGACATAGAGAGAATTGAAGTGAAATGTAAACGATAAGCTATTTCAGTTTTTGACTTGAGAGAAATGAATGTGCCGATGGGTCTGTGCAATTGTCACATTTTACAGTGTAGAAATATGTGGTCCTTGCCTGCCAGTCCGCAGCATTCTGTTGAGCCCATGCCTGGTCACACTGGGGTAAAGGGAGGAGCCACCAGATTTTACTTCTGCCAAACTGACATCACCCCCAAGTGACTTGTGATCAGCCTAGAGCTATTAAAATGTCCACATTTACTGTTCCTATTCACTTTTGGAGGGTGTGTGTATGTGTGTGTGTGTGTGTGTGCGTGCGTGCGTGTGTATGCACGTGTGTCCGTGTGTGCGTGTGTGCACACATGCATGTGTGCGTGTGCATGGTGTGTGTATGTGCGTGCTTGTGTGCATGTGCGTGCGCGTGGTGTGTGCGTGTGCATGTGCATGCGCATGCATGTGTGTGAGTATGCGCGTGTGTGTGTGTATGTGTGTGTGTGTTTCAGCATCATGTGGACAAAACATCTTAATGCCTGCTTTTTGCCCCAGTCGTAAACATTGGACACCTGGGTGCCTGGGTGTGAATGTTCACATATTGTTAATGGACTGTCGGCTGACAAGTTATTCAATCTGAAAATGTTGCTGAATTTCCAGCATTGATGGCAGGATGCTTAGTAGTTTCTGGTAAATACGATGCTTCATAACCCTACAAGATCTCTACAAGCTTATTTCCAGTTCTTCCTACAAGGTTCAAAACGGCGACACAAAAGCTCTTCTTCCTAAAGCCATTTGAAGACCAAAAGTTGGACTACTCTTTTTATTAGGACAGTACAGTTTCACAAATTCAATTTGTTAGAGTTCTTATTCCAGAAATAAGTTCTCAGATATGAAATGATTATAACTCCATCCAGAAGTGAGGTGACTTGGATCCGTGCATACAGTCTGCAACAGTAACAAATTCTTTTCAAGGATTTTTGAAAAAACATTTACTTACTCTACTCTAATTAAAAACCTCTGAAACCGTCTGGGCAGCTTTACCACAGCCTTGTGGCACATGCGCGTGCACCGATTTCCGGGCACACTGCTGGGCTCTGCACTGCACTCATTTATGTGTCGTGTTTCTGTAAAAATAGAGAGGTCAGTTACGGCAAATCACATCTAAGGCAAGGCAACTGGATAGAGCAGCGCTTTCTGCCTAATTTGGAGGAAGCACATAACGTATGTGTGGAGTGCCTCCTAGGACCTGCCTAAGAGAGGTACTTTGCACTAATCTTTTTGCTGTATTCTGACAGTTATTTCTTCATAATCCTCATCATAAGCCTCTGATCTTTGATGAATGATTTAACCCTAAACTTCAGGCTGGATAAATCCTGTGGTATAAAAATTTAACTCATCACATGCAGCCAGTAGTTTTACGTAATTTTTTCCTTTGGGTTTACTCTGGTAGTTTTGATGTGGCGGTGGTGGTGACGGTGGTGGTGGTGGTGGTGGTGGTGTGTGTGTGTGTGTGCGATACCCTGTGTGTGTGTGTGTGTGCGGTACCCTGTGTGTGTAGGTATGTCATGTGTGTATGGTGTGTTTTTGTGTGTGGGGTGAGTGTGTGTGGTTTCCTGTGATTCCTGTGATATGTGTGTGTGTAGTGTCCTGTGTGTGTAGATATATCATGTGTGTGTGGTGTGTAGAATGTGTATGTGTGTAGGATTATGATGTATGTGTGTGGTATCTTGTGATATGTGTGTGTATGGTGTGCTTATATGTGTGTGGTGTCCTGTGTATGCAGGTATACTGTGTGTGTATAGTGTTTGTGTGTGTGTGTGTGCAACGGGGAGTTCTATTTACTTCCTGTTGTCTTTGCTTCACGTCCTCACCTGCTGTTTCAGTCTATATTGGTGGCCATAGGTGTTTGAATTTCAGGCATCTCTCTGTGTCCTGAATGCTCAAGCTTACACACGTGCAGTTCACAGTGCAGCCCTCTGTTTCTCTGAGTCGGGAAAGCACTGCGAGCTCACACTCCTCACACACGCAGATTCTCATTGCATTAAGTGTTGGCACTGTGTGCTACTTCCCAAAGTTAGCCAGGCAGGTTTAAGAAACTACTTTGGGGGATTGTATATTAATCTTTCACTAGACAACACAAGTATAATCTTATGAAATTTACCTTAAATCACTTTGCTAAATCAAGGTTCTGCTGGGTGTATTTTTAATTACCTGGAACTTCTGAATAACTAACCCTGCCATGCTAAAGAAAAAGATTTTCATTGGAGAATCTCTCTCTCTCTCTCTCTCTCTCTCTCTCTCTCTCTCTCTCTCGCTCTCTCTCTCTCTCACACACACACACACACACACACACACTCACACACACTCAGGTTTTGTGCCTGAGCCTCTCTGTTTCCAAGTGGGTCAAGTTGAGAGAATTGATTATCCAGAGAGAATTTAAATGCCAGCTGTTTGGTAAGACAAGATTTGCTTCACCTAAGGATTCCCCACTCGGCAGCCAGATTTCAGATGAGTCACATCCTCAAACGTCTGAGCAATTTGCTGCACTGTGCTTTTTTGAATTGCTGCATTATTTTACTGTACCAAATTTTGCTCCATCTGCTTCTGTCTGTCTCTCTCTGTTCCTGTTAACTTTCCCTATCTCCCCAACTTCCTGTTTGTCTCTAGCCAACCACTGTTTGAAAGTTGTTTCTGGCTCTAACACAAAATTCCAAGGTTATAGAAGAGACAGCAAGACACAAAGAAGAATATTTGCTCCTAAAAGGGCAAGAAAACCCGATATAGGATGTCAGAACTTAGATTAAACCCAGACAAGCAAAGGCCTGCTTTATTTGAGAGCTGGGCCATGAACCTAAAGTAATTGTATCCTGCATTGCCGAAACCTGGAAAGTAGATATTTCTCAGACTTGACCAGTTGTTATAGCCATTTAGAAATACGTAGAACAGGCTGAGCTTGGAACACATTGGTATCAGCCACCACATGTACCAAGAGGGTTGATTCAGTTTCATGTCCACAACCCTTTCTGTACCTAAAATGAGACATATTACTATTTAGGCTGAAAGTTCTAATTATGTCCTTTAATAAGCAAGGAGCAGAAACATTTAGGATTATCACAATGATATGAACATTTCATCACCATATAACGGTGCAGTTGTTCAATATCACAGGTAAAGTCACTGCAGAAAGCGGTAAGGTGAGAGTTCTCGGTCTGAGAATCGTTCTACTGCCGCATACCCTGGTATTAACTGTCTCACATTTGCACATGCATTTGAAGTTACCTTGATATCTTGTCACCCACAGAAACGGGATGAGCCAGAGAAAAGCTCAAACTTGATTTTCTTGTTTTCTTTGAAACCATATCTTTTTAAAAACATGTACTTTTATCTCTCTGTTGAACTGGAATGATTTGTATATACTTGGAGCCTTGAGCTATTAGTAAGAGTCATAGTTTATGTATATTTTCATTGCAGATCATTAGCAGGTAGTTCCAAAATGGCAGCCTTCCACGGTCCCGGAAATGAAGGACTTGGTTTTGCAAATGAAAAAGACACTTCTGAAAGCTTTCCTTGTCCTTTTTTGTTTCTTCTAGATAACCTGGTGCAGCTCAGGGTGGGCCTCAACCTCCCGCCTGCCCGGAGCTGGTCTCAGGTTCCATCCCGCTGTCGCTGCTGCCCATCACATTGACTTTCCCAAGATGAATCCTCCTTTGGAATATGGTCGGCCCACACGGGCCTGGTGATCTGGATGTGTGCACTGGTTCCCTTTAGGTGATCTTCTCTGAAGTTCAGTAAAGCTGCTTGTTCACCCGTGGATTCCTGTCCCAAGCTACCTCTACCAACCCCATCTCTCCAGCAAGACTTGTTGGTCTCCTCTCCTGCCCACCTGCTTTGAAAGCTCTGCAGTCCCCATTAAATTCGTTATCCTGTCTGGAATGACCCCTGCCAGTACTTGACTGAGTTTATGTTTTGCTCTGAAATTTTTAATGGTGTAATACCCGTGTTTATTGAGAGAGATTTACTTTGAAAGCTTACCCTTGATTCAGTTGCAGCAGAGAGGACAACGTTGGTCCTTCTTTCAAAATTAAGCAACGTTTAAAATGCCATTTTATTTATTTCCTTTTAATAATGATCTATGCAGCACTTCAAGAAACAACTATAATGGTGTTGTATATTATAAACTGATGACATTCTACTATCATGTACAACATTTTTGGTTTTTATGCTTCTTGAGGTGGTAATGAGAAAAAAGTTTTTAAAAAAGTGTGCCTTGCTGTGTCTCTCATACCATTTATTAAAAAGCTGCTTTCATGATAATATTATGTTGGTTTGAAAGGAGGAAATAGCAAGGTTAAGATGTGAGAATAATTTCTGTGTATATGTATAACCTAGTAAAAACATTAATGTATAATGACAGTTTAAAATGCTTTCATGTTTGTGATGTCAGTGATGTGGAGAATATAAGCCTTAAACCCATTATATTGCATGGTAATTAAAATTGGCATAATAAAAATAGTTCATTGGGGGAAAAGGATAATTAATGATCTCTTCTACCTGTGTTATTTACCAAATTGTTGCATCTGGTTCTGAAAATAAAACATGATGCAGCTTCCAAAATATCCATATGGTACAAGAGGCTTAAATTACTTAAACTACAGACTAAGCACGAAGCCTTCACAGTTTCCAAAATCTTCCTGGTCGCTATAAACATTTTGAAAGAGCAAATTATTGAAGGTCATTTCCCCTGAACCAACAAAAAATTTATACTAGATGATTTCATTTCTACTTATTAATGATTTAATGACAGATTATGGATATCTTAAACATCCTAATTTATTTTAAATCATTATTTTGAATGGATTTTGTAGATGATATAAAAATGTAGAAAAATTCGATATTATTTTATTTAGACTATAGATTTCAGGTGTATTTATTTTGTGTGACAGAAATCAGCAGAGACATATTCCCGCTGGTCTTTTTTGACTTGCTAAGTGCAGTTTTTAATTTATATCATAACTCCTACTAAAGTGCCTGACACACAGTAGGTATTCTATTGAAATCTGCTGAATTGATGTATTGAATTTGGTAACATGGATTTTCAGGTTCCCAAACCTCAAACATGTATATGACTAGAAAAAGACCCGGTGCAGTGTGAAAGCACACACAGTACGTAATCAGTTTATAGCAGATATGTGACCACAGAAATGACAATCGTTCGTCCAACAGGTAGCTCATTCACATCTTTTATCTGCAAGGTACTATTCTAGATCCAGGGAATACAGCTCTGAAGGATACACTGCCTTTGGAGGCTGACCTACATGAGGGACGAAGTGACCACACAGAGGACATGCAGTGTGTAGGGTTCCTGGTGAGAAAGGAAACACGTGTAGTGAAAGAGGCAGGAAGGACACGGGTAAGGGAGAAAGGAGAGAGAGGGAAGTTAGTGGGTGGAGTATTTCGTGGTGACTTAGTGCGGGGATAATAGGAGAAGAGGCCCATGGAAAAGATGTAATGAGAGGTGTTTTACAAAGCTAGGTTGGAGATTTGTGTGCAATACACTAGGTAGTAAGGGAACCTTCTAGTCTGTTTTGGGCTTGATTTAATTTTAGAATTGGAACTTTATTAGCACCATATTAAGAACACTTAAATAATGCTTGTCTATAATTCTACCACCATAATTATGTATTTTTATGCCCCTTATGACCTCTCCTGCACATATTTTGAGTAGGTGGTGAGCTATTCTAAAGGGGTCTTAGGGAGATGTCTGGTTACAGTGTTCAAGGGGATTGCGAAGGGGCGAGAATACAGATAGCTGTATGGTGAGGAGACTGCTAGAGTTGAGTCTATACCCAAGGGCAGTGGCTTGGGATACAGTGAAAGGAAAATCCTACAGCCTTTGAAATACTTAAGAACATCTTGGACCTCTATTGGGATATGGGATTATTTTATGTTCTGAGGCACCCTAAATTTTTCTTGGTTAGGAAATAATGCCAAGTCTGTATCTGCTGGTAAAACATTCAAAGAATTAACCAGCCGTGGTGTTCTATATGTCTGTTATATATCCATAGAAGACCCTTAGGTATTGAAAATATTTATTGATTATCTACTTAGAAGTAATACCAAATTTTTAGGCTAATTAACACCTTTTCCTGTTGGAAGAGATGGAGTAGTCTTGGTCTCACACCTGTGTAAGTGCTACCTCCCTAGTTGCCAAGGAACACAGCTCATTTGGTTTCTACTGACTCACACCAACTCTTTCTCCACACCTCCTGTGACAATGGTTTGTTACCTGCTAAAGCAAACCCTCTCACTGCTGGGCATGTGTTTCTGTTAAATGCTTTCCTAGGATGCTGAGGTCCACACAGTGCCCCCACGCCACCTTTAATTCAGTTCACTGGTCCGAGTTAGATCTTACAGAGCAGCAGCTTGGAGTGTTTTCTATGGCCTCCGTCTCATGGCAGCCCTGCAGGTGACTGAGGTCGGTTATTCACTCTCCTCCAACCGCCCCTCTTATGCCATGATCTTCGGATCCATTTCAACCTGACTGAATCTTTAACGGGCAGAATCCTTGACGCTGAAGGACTGTCGGACTGTCGCCATCATACCTTAGAAGAGTATCATTAAGTGCTAAGTTTTCTCTAAAATATATTCGAGATATATGTTTATTATTGTAAATTTCAATAAATAAATAAACAAGCAAATGCGTAAGAATCTATGAGTTCCTTCCGTGGTCCAGTCCGGCACTGGAGTCATCTTGATTTTTTTTCTTTACATTGGGTCACCTTTCCATCTATTTATTCGTTTATTCATTCAGTCGTTCAACAGACGCTCACTGACTGCTACTTATGTGAGGCGTTATGTGTGGTCTCTGCTATGCAAAGGCAATTGAAACACGGTCTACATCTCCACAGGGTCCACAGATCTCCTTCTAAAGTGCCTTTCATGCCCTTGAATAGAGTGATCGTTACCTTTACCTAAAGTAAATGATGACCACGTTTACAAGCTTCTTGTCTAGTTTATCCACACTTTCAAAAATCAGATGAGCAAAACGGTACGTTATATGGTCTGGATCTAACTATGAGAGGTGAAGTGGTTTCAATTTCAGAGGAAAAGGCATTTTTCAGATTTCTGGTTACTGAATAAATATGCATGTTATACAAGAGAACAATCTAAATGTAGGGTCTATCAAGCCCAGTGCTGATCCTTTCTTGTGTGTTTCATTAGCTTAGCCTGGGTTTTACTTATTTTGTAGTAGCTGAGAACAAACTGAACAAAAACATCAAAACAGAACAACTGGTCTGACTGTTTCTTACAAGTAAAACTGCATTTGCTTCCGAATGAAGTTGACATTCAAGTTTATAGAACTAATTTTTCCAGTATCCTAATTTTTATATTTCAAATATAAATTGAGCAAACTAGATTCATAGTTATATATTTTCACATCTAATTTTTTTCCAATTTTTATTTTGGTAATTTCTGACATATAGAAAAAGCCAAAATAGCATTAAAATAACATCTGTGTACTCAAATAACATCACCCTTGAGATACATTTACCGTTAATATTCTCTCCTTCCCCAAATACGCACACACGCACGCACGCACACACATGCACGCACCTTCTTGTATGATTTGGAATTAATTTGTGGAGCACAAAACTCCGTTTATAAAGACTTGAGTTAATATGGCCTGAGCACACAGAGGTTTGTTCTCTGCACGCCTACGATACCACCAAGTACCCTCTTGGGATCTGTATTAAAATGTCTCTACTTCCAAATAAGTTCTTTGTGGCTGCTTTATTTTAATCCAGTGCCCAGTGATCACACACGCCTTTTAGTTTTAAAATCATCCTAACCTTGCAGTTACGCATGTTCTTATTCGTCTTTTGGTCATTGACATATTTACATTTCCAAAAAGCCCAGTCCAGTTTTATAGAATGATTCCCACCCTGGATGCGTCCAGTTATCTCCTCATTATAAGACTCAGGATAAACCAGTTTTGTCCACTAAAGCATTCAGGTGACTGCGCTCAGCTCTCTGATGCAGTGTGACCGAGTCCCTGGCTTTCTTCATTTTTGTTGGGTCTCATTTGCTAAGGAAGACATCAGCAAACTATGCCCATGGGTCAAATCCAACCCAGCGCCTGGTTGTGTTTGGCCCGGGAGGTAATAATGACTTACATTTTTGAGTGATTGAAAACATCAAAAAGAATGTTTCATGATATGTGAAAAATTATATTAAAGTCAAATTTTGGTGTCAGTGAATAAAGTCATACTGGAACACGGCCACACACAGTTGCTAATGTATGATTACTTTTACACTGTAGCTCCAGAGTTATACAGTCACAACAAAAGCTTGTGTGGTCATCAGAGCCTTAAATACTTACTATCTGGTCCAATGCAAAGTGTTTTCTGATCCCTGGTCTATGGTATCCTCCAGGTTGACACTATTTTCTTAGATGTAGATAGATTTCAAGTTGCAAAGCAACAGTTTTATAGGACATGAAACTGTTTTCTTTCTAGATTTTATTATATTTTCAATTTTAGTCCCATGAAGAGTGACTGATCGATCTGCTGACACTCTTGATTCGCACTTTTATATTGTTTTCTAAGGCCGAGGATAGGAAACTATAGCCCATGGGCCAAATGTAGACATGTATGTGTTTCACCTGCAATTTTAGAAAAATATTCTTTGGTTCATGAACTGAAAGTTTGAAATTTACTTCACTATTACTGATTAATTTAGTGATTAGTCAGCTATAGACTAAATAATTAGGGCAACCAAAACCACACAAAAATTGACTCAACCTAATCTCATCTCAATGTACCAATAAATTGTAGTCTTTTCTCTAAATGTTTTTCTGAAGCAGTCACAAGTATTAAGTCAGGTCATCTCATTCTGTTTTTTAAAAAATTTATTCTTCCCAAACAGTAACAATTGTATATGAGGCTCCCTTATTTCCTGATCATAAATAAAAATCTTCATGTACCAAGGAAAGAGGTATTCATCTGAGACCCTGCTGTGATCATAAGTGTACACTCACTGGACTGAAGACAGTCACTGAACTCGAGCCCATGTTTTTCTATTTATCTCCTTTGGGGCTGTGTCAGTTCCCCCAAGGAAAGCTTTCAGATGCTTCTTTAAAAACAGCCACATAAGGGCTGGAGAGATGGCTCAGAAGACCCAGGTTCTAATCCCAGCACCCACATGGCAGCCAACGACAGTCTGTAACTCCAGTTCCAGGGGATCCAGCAGCCTCTTCTGTCTTCTGCGGGCGTTGCACGACACGGGTACACTCACCTACATGCAGGCAATACACACATAAAATAATAAATTTTTTTAAAAAAACCCAGCCACATATTTTCCACACAGCAGTGGCTTTGCATATAGAACTTGCCACATATTCGCATGTCTGAAAAAATGAAGGGTACAAATCAAGTCTACCTTAGCAAGGTTTCTTTGGCAAAGGCAAGCTGTCCAGTGCCCAGAGACCACGCTGACTCTTGATTAATGGCCTCACCCCAAAGCAGCTTATTTGAGCTTGTGCTTTGAAGTAAATCAGGGTCTACATAATGCAACTTTCCTCAGGTTCTTTTCCAGTACAGCAGGCAGAACTTGGATGGTGTCTACATGCATGACATTATCATGGTTTGTTAGGACTACTGTAACAGAATACTTCATGCTGGAAAATTTATAAACAGAAAGAAATGTATTGCTTTATGATGTGGAAGCCCAAGGTCAAGGCAACAGGAGATTCGGTGTCTGGTGAGGAAGGCCTGCTGGGTGTGTCACTGAAGGGTCTGCTGGCTGCCTCCTCCCTCAAGAGCTGATGAACAGGCTCCCTCAGGCCTTCTATAAAGCACCAATCCCGCTCGTGAGAGTGTCACTCTCAGAACTTGATTATACTCCAGACTCCAACTCAATACTTGGAGGAGGAAGTGCAGCCTGAACAACCAGCGCATGCGCTGCAAACGCACCAGAAACATCCGGCTGGGTCAAACCTATGTTCTGCCCAAAGACAGAGACGGCTGACTCGATACAGAGAGCCAATGAGGAACAGACACGACCTATCAATGGACCAATGGGACACCGGGAGGGGGGATATAAGGGAGCCCCATATCTGCCATCCACGAGTCTGCAGCTGCTCGCACGGCCTGCTTCTCGCCTGACTCCCGGAGTCTGCGTCGTGACTCCGCTGTCTCTATCCCTGCCCGGAGGGCCCCAGGACACCCGCAACATCAGGCACCCAACGTGAGCTCCCCATGCTGGCATGGGCATGGCATGGACCTTCTTGGGTCCTGGCCATCGTTGTGGTGGCCGCTTTTCTCTCCTGGACCGTGTTCTTTGCACTTTTCCGCGGCCGTGCATCCACCGCTCCACCTTAGTTTCGCTTTCTCCACCTGTGACCACCTGGGCACCTCTCCCACTTTCTTCGGGGTTGCGAGACACCCCCTGCCTGAAGTTTCAGTAAGTCGGCCCCTACGTGTTACATGTGCCTTCGGTTCTCCCGTGGGTGAGCGTGAGAACCCCCACCTTCCCTTTTCCCTGGTCCTGTCTGTCGATTAGGGAGGTACACATTTTGCTTTCGGTTGGCCCCGGACCTCCACATGAACGCTGACCCCCTAGGAGGCGGATCCCAGGAGCGCCCTGACCACCCGCCCCCCACCCAGAGATACGGTGTGGGCATAGGGCCGTGGCCTAAGGAACCACCGAAGTCCCCCACTGAGCACAAGACACCTGCGTCCCACACATTCTCTTTGTCTTAGAATTAACATGGGTAATCTGCCCCCCCCCCCGTAGGGAACCCCAAATCAGTACATTACAATCCCTCCTCATCACCCGAGGTCTTAAAGTTAAAACCAATGACCTAGATGCTTTCTGGAACAAGGCTACCATCCTCGCACCACGGGTCACCCTGAGAACATGTGGGACCCTGACCTCTGGATGCCTGTTCTTTTCCTTGCTAGGAAGCACCAGGTCTCCTCAGGTGTCTTCCCACCTGCCTCATTTGTCCCCATTCTCCTGGCCATCATAGCTAGCCTGATTCCTTTGGTCCTACTCATCCTTGTCAAGTGTCTCAGCATGCCCGACGGAAAAAACGCATCAACAGAGCCACACTCCAGGTCCTCTTGGCTCCCAATCACCCTGGTGGGCTCACACCCAGGGAGGTCCCCCTTTGAGGGCCGGTAGTCAGTGCGGGTAAGAGCTTGCTAACCAAGCCAACCTAAGATAGGCACAGTCCATAATTCTGGGGACCCCCTGAGGTGGGGCCACCAATGCCAAGGTGAAGAATCTTGGCTCCCACTAGAGCTTCACAAAAAGAAAAAGGGTGGATATGTAGGAGGAAGTGCCGCCTGAACAACCTGCTCCTGCGAGCTACAAACGCTCCAGAAACATCCGGCTGAGGCAAACCTGTGTTCTGCCAAAAGACAGAGAGACAGCTGATGCGAAAATGGCCTGATGCAGAGAGACAATGAGGAACAGACGCAACCTATCAGTGGACCAATGGGACACCAGGAGGGGGATATAAGGGAACCCCATATCTGCAGTCCACGAGTCTGCAGCTGCTCTCACTGCCTGCTTCTCACCTGACTCCCAGAGTCTGTCGTGACTCCATACCAACTGTACCCCCGCCCAGAGGGCCCCAGGACACCCGCAACAAATACTGTGGCGTTGGGGATTGGGTTTCAGTATAGGAA